GACGGTCGGGAGCAGATCCACCCAAGAAATTATTGTAAATATAATCTGCGAGGTATATAGCATCATCGGGGTCCGTGAGGAACTGGATACCACCAAATGGTCCACCAATGGAGATTAAGACCTTGATACATAGGCTTTGGCATTCGGTGATCTCCGGGCCAATGAACTTGCAGTCGTTGATGGACGGGCTGCAGTGACCGGCAAGGTTGACGGAAGGAGGTTGGTGACCGCCGTACTCAGAAATGAAGCCTATGATGACATAGGAATAGAGGCCACTGGTACAAGCCTCCGTTAAGTTTCCTTCACCACCATCTTGACCCCAGTAGACAGCTATGCCAGCTGACTCGCCATGGCAGGTTTGGAAGAATGCTTGGAGAGGAAGAAGAAGAAGAAGAAGAGTGATTGTAAGTTTAATAGTAATCGCCATTTTTTTTTTTGATTAATTTCTTGGATTTTCATCAACTTCTTTACTGGTTATTTATAGATGAATCTCCATATGATATATATCATGAGTCTTGATGGTTGATATATAATTTTTTATTTCATATAATATAAGAAAATAAAAATAAGAGGAAAATCCTCTCTTAAAATTGCATGTGGCAGCTTGTCGTGCATATATAATATTTTTCTAATAACACTTTATACATTTTAATAATTAATTTAAATTTATGTAATAATAATAATAATACAATTAATTTTTTAATAATAAAATAATAAAATCAAATTTTTTGAAAACAAAAAACATAAATAACACAACTTGTACTCGATCTTACAAAAAATAAAATAAAATATTACTTTTTTAACGAACAAATTAATTATATATATAGTATTCTATAAGTTACGTAAGTCCATAAAATAGTTCTAATTTATTACATTTTTGTAATAGACTTCGTAGTCACGTATTGCTATCTATTATCATTTTAACACATGGTGTGAGCCCAATTAGTCCTCTCAACATTTTTTAAGACGGCTTCGTTTTTCTTGTTCGAGATGATCCAAGCAATAGTTGGAAAGACCATCTTCAAGCTACCTATACCATGAGTGTTCACAATCGTGCTAAAATCATCTTACCAATTTTTGCTTTAGATACTAAACTTTTACATTTCTCGATGTTCAATTCTATTTTTAGACTAAGTAAGTCCACATCGACTCAAAAACATCATCATCTCATATTTAATTTTGTTTAAAATAAAATAAGTTCGTCTCTGAATTAAAAATTTTAAATATAGAAAAATAAATTCGACTTTATTCAAAATTAAGTAACGTAGTATTGAATTAAAAATTACTTTAAAAAAATTAAATCAATGAAATATAATTTTTATAAAAATAAAAATTTAGAATTTGGGAGAGTTTTTATATTAAAATAAATTAAATAATTATCTTTTAATACACTATCAATTATTACATTCATTTATGAGGTTTATATAATATTAGTGTTACCTTCACGATCTATTCATATACGTAATTATGGAGTCGTATTTGTGTAATGAATTTTACCTTTATTATTTTTTTGAAAAGTATATCAATTATGATACA